CCCTAAACCCTAAACCGAGGCTTTAGTGTTGAAGTTTCTGCTTGAGTGTTGTCTGCGTCTCTTAGGGGCTATGAGGGTTCAGGGGTTGAGGGATGTGGGGGTTTAGGGTTCTTGGTGCCAAGGGGCCATGAAGGTTCAGGGGTTCAGGGGTCTAGGGTTTATGCTTCCTTCAGGGCCTTCAGCACCAATGAAGGCTCAGGTGTCTGGGGGTTCAGGGTAGGACATTGAGGTACAGGGTTTGGGTATTGGAATTGCTGTAGGTGTTCAACTTCGTGTGTTCAGGTTTAAGCTTGGTGTTTTCCGCAGTTCTACCAGGCCAGTCCCTCCCGTAAGGAGGAGCGTTAGCCGGAATCCCATGCAAGACCCAGCGTCACTTTCGATGATGAGGAAAGGCACTTTAACCCCAAGCCCCAAATCCTAAACGTGAGCTTCAGCATTCATTGGGGTGCACGGGGCAGAGACCTGAAAGACCCCACATCTTCAGTCGAGGGCTGCTTCTTTCGTTTTCGGGGAGCCGAGCTGAGGGCTGCTGTCACATTGTAGACAGTCATAGGGTTTAGGGTTTCGGGTTTGGGGTTTAGGGTTTAGGGTTTAGGGTTTCCTTCCTTCCTTCTTTCCTGCCTTATTTGCCCAAAATGTACATTATGTGAGCAATCAGGGCGGGGCAATGAGCTCGGCTGTAGAAGAGCCTTCGTTTACTGCCCTGGTCATTGTACTCCATCAGTCGGGCCCCTCGCAAAGGGGTCGTCCAGCTTCGAGAGCCCAAGCATCGATGGAACCTGCTAAACGCATCCGTCTCCGAATTAGATCTTCAACCCTCCGCACGACAGACAGGGTGCCCAAAGCCTTAAATAGCCTAATATAGGGCCGCTTTAGTAATTAGACGAGGGTTCTGGGGCCCCTTATACTATAGTTTTGATAAGGAGCCCCCCAAAATAATAGAGCTATCCATTAAGGCCCCAAAATTAGGCCCCACGCCGCAAGCCCATAACTTCAACTCCAACCCCTCTAAACAGATAAAAGCATCCTCCGAAGCCTCATCCGACATCTCTTCCGAGGTGCTGAGGAGAGGCGTTACACCAACTCCCCTCTCTTGCCCGATCTGCCGTAGCTGCCGCCCTTCTGCACCTGTTTTGAAGCTTTCAGATTTCAGCTGCGCAGCCTTTGAATCCTTAATCCGTACGGCCCCAGGCCCCTAGATCCTAAACGATCACAGTGCCAATGCTCAAGGTAATCGCAACTGCAACAGTAGCAGCAATAGCAATCATGGTGATAGCAGAATTATGCTGATATCAAGTTTTCGCACCTATACTAGTATGAGCCACGGCACAATGATACTGACTGTGTTAGCAATTCGAGGCAAGAAAATACCTGAACAAGACCTTCCTGAAGTTGTCCCTAAGCGCAACGCGACACTGCCCGGTACCCTAATTCTTCGGGGCGCAAGCTTAAGACTCGAATCTCAAGTAATGCGAGGCATTCACGTGCCCGACGTCTGGACCGTGGATGTTGAGCTGCCCGCCGCATGGACGGGTAGCAGCAAGTCGTCCGATGCTGAGGCAGCTTTGGGTCTCCGGCCCTGCTTTTTCGAGCTTCTACGGCTCCCGGGCCTTACTGTAGAGATCTGTAGAGCTTTCCGGTTCTGGACACTACATTGGGGTTCAGGCCGTCGCGTAGATGGGTCATGCACTTCTCGGGCTTTCTCAATAACTTGGGTGTTGAGCGCGTGAGTTCAACGCCGAGCTCCTGAACCAGAAACTGCCATAAACCCTGCTCTCCAGGCTAAGCATTGGGCTCTGAAGCCCTAAACCCGCAAAGCCTACACCTTAAACCCTAAACCCTAAACCCTAAACCCTACAAGCCCTAAACCCTAAACCCTCAACCTCAAGCCCTGAACTCCTAGAAGATCACCAAGCTCCCGAGCCTCAAGCTGAACCCTAAAAGACAAGGAAGCCTACAGAATTGCCACTATTACTCCTTAGGGTTTCTGATTCTATTTATCCTAGAAAGGAGCCCAACATCTCATTCTGATCATTACGGGTTTCTGATTCTATTTAGATTCAAAGGAGCCAAAACCTCATTCTAATCATTAAGGGTTTCTTATTCTGTTTATACTCAAAGGAGCCCAAAACCTCATTCTAATTATGAAGGGCCCCTGCAGTAGACTCATGTCTCCTGGCGCAGGTGGAGTGCTACGAAGTGCAGGTGCCTGCTCTGAGGGAGTCGGAGACGATCCTTCGGTTCGTGACTTCTGGAGTCTCCCGTTGAGTTCTTAACCCTACCTTAAGAACCCAAGACCTACTTTTTCGTAGGGTCCCTATAAGTCCCATATTAGGTTCTATAATATATAATAAGAACCTACAAAAAAGTAGGTTTTGAGTTCTTAACCCTAAACCCTAAACCCTTGACCCTTATCCCCGAAACCCTTACTCCCTAAACCCTAAACCCTTAAACCCTTTAGCCCTAAGCCGTCTTTGTTTAGGAGTCGATAGCGTTCAGGGCTCTGGGGTTTGGGTTTTTATAGGGGGTTTGGGGGGGTGGGGCGGTTCAGGGTTTTGGGGCTTCTGGGGCTTCGGGTTTTGGGTTTTTGGGGTCCCGGGTTCGGATCTGATTCAGGAATCGGGGTTTTGAGTGCGGGGTTTACGCTTAACCGCAGAGTTTGGGGTAACAATGCTTGGCCGCCTTAGCCTCTATGCTTGAAGCCGTAGATGCCCAAAACCCCCAAAACTCACCAGGACCTAAACCCTATAAACCTTAAGCCCTATCCCCCTGTGAGCCCACCCTGTAGACCCCGGAAGGGCTATAAGCGCCCTACATATCCCTTAGAGCCCTCGAAGCGGAACACACTCGGAACCCACATGATTCCTGGCGTGTCTATACGCTCCTGCCAAAGTGTAAAGTAGAGTATACACCGCCACCGAAGCCCTGGAAGCCCTGACACCACAACCCTTACACAGCTCCCATAGATTCAGCAGTATTTAGGCATACTACACCCTACCAGCAACCCTTATAGAAGTCCTTCCAGAAACCCGTACAAGGAACCCTTTGCTATGGAATGTAAAAGGACCCCCCATAAAGCAAACCCTAAACCCTGGCCCTAACCCTAAGGCCCTAAACCCTAAACCCTAAACCCTAAACCCTAAACCCTAAACCCTAAACCCTCAACCCTACCTTCGGATTGTTGCAGGTGTTGACGCCCACCTCCGAGAATTCGGCTGGGGCCGCAGAGTTCTCCTGGGTAAGCCAGGGCCCAAGACAAGACGAGCTTCTTGTTCCCGGAATGGGGTTTAGGGTTTAGGGTTTAGGGTTTTTGTTCCCGGAATGTATACCTTAAGAACCCAAAACCCACTTTTTTGTAGGTTCTAATTATAAACCCGGATGACGAGGTGGCTTATGAGGGCTTAGGGTTGAATCACTAGCACTTAAAGGATCATGGGACTTAGTAAGTAGGGCTATAACTAAGGTAACTATACCTACAACCCCAATTAGGGGACTTATAACCTTACTTACTAGGTCCCGTGATCCTCCAAGTACAGAGCTTTACGAGGTTGTGGGTTTTAGAAGGTTTGTTGGTGTTCTTGTGAGGGTCTTTGTAGGGCTTTTCGAAAGGTTTTGGTGTAGGTGTTTCATAGTATCATCTCTAGATGATGCATTCTACGGTAAGACTCCACCTCTCTTCTACTGCCTCCTTAGATGCTCAAGCCTTGGGTTGGATTACTTTCAGGGTTTAGGCTTGAGGGTTTAGGTCTCTAATTTGCCTCCCAGTCTTGGCTTGCTTTGCCATGCTGTGAACCCTTAAGGTGCCTACTGCTGAGGATTCTCCTTAACGCGCTGTGTCGGCTCTTGTGAAGCTTCGGGGGTCTCTTGTGACGGGAGCCCTAAACCCTAAACCCTCAACCAAGAGCTTGCCCAGTAGGTCTCACGTGGGGGCTTCTTGAAATTCGGGGTTACCCTAATTATTCAGGGCCCTGATACGAGATTCCATGATGTGGGGCCTTTTTAAGATGGTCCTCCCGGTTCCGTTTTTGCTCCCATCTCTTCTGAAACTCCAACATCGCGACGAAGCGTGCCCTAAACCGATCAAGAGAGCCTGAAGAACGAGGAATCTTAAATTGCAAGAAAATCGTCCAATCACCCAGGCCCCTCTACATTTATATTTAGGCTCATTTAGGTCTTGTAAAGTCCTCCACTGTCAAGAAAGCTCTGCGCGCAGGCTCGGACAGCGCAGCATCCACTGACGACTGCGCGGACTCGGCGCAAAATGGAACCTTCTTTCCGCCCCTGCCCGACCCTCGGATAGGGCTTGCCAGGCATGACGGCTTTCGGCGGGGGTGCGCCCTAAACCCTAAGGTGCACGCTTCCCCTGAACTTCCCTGAATCCGACGCTTGCCAGTAGGGCCCGATAGGGCCACGTCTTCTGTGCCACGATTTAATAGGGTTCAGGTTTGGGTTTAGTGCGGGTTAGCAGTGGACCTAGACCCAAAACCCTACGCCATAAACCTAAACCCTACCTGTAGCCTCCATTGTAGTTCCTTTGTTGTGGTTTACCCAATGATATATTTCGGATTTTTATAAAGTCTCCCCAAAAGGGACTACCATGGAGACTACAGGTAGACCCTAGACGGACTAGACCCCAAACACTAAACCCTAAACCCTAAATCCTAAACCCTAAACCCTAAACCCTAGACGGACTAAGCCGCAAAGAAGACGCAGATGCAGGTGTCGCCGTGTCTGGGATGTGGCCGTGCGCTCCAGCCCCCTGGTCTGAGAAATCGGGGATGGATATAATCTGAAGTTGAACCCATGGGCCCTTAGTATGGGCCCTTAACCCTGGGATCCTTATACACCTTTCATATACCCTATATCCTACCCTTAAAAGTTATTAGAAAGGCCTAAGGGTCCATGTTAGGGGCCCGTACTTCTAACCTTAGATATAAGAGGGTTTAGGGATTACTGCAGAAGTCTGAGGATTGGGTAACTAGAACTCTCTAGTTATAACTGACCAGGAAGTTGAAATTTAGATCTTGAGCTCTAAACTCTATTTTTTTACTGACGAGGGGGATATTCAATCAGGCCGAAGGCTCGCACCAGAAAAGTACACGGCTACTTCATTGAATCAAGTTCCCCTCGTACCCCGGCATCCTTTCAGACAAGCACCCGAAGATGGATCCGAACGAGCCCACACATTAGGCTTATAAGCGGATACCACTACTAGTTAATGCTCCTCAGTGTGATTCATGTGTGTAGTCCCCTCCAAATGCATCTTCTGCCCTAACAATAGAAGGCGCGATCCTGTTTTGCGGGGCGGCATTCCGGACGGTGCCATTCAGAGTAGAGCTATATCAGTGTTTTCCTTGCTACTTGGTCTATGCCGACAACATCGTGACCGTATCATTCAGACTCGCACATGCAAATTTCTACAGACTTTGAGGGAGGTCTTTCAGCGTCAGGGCTTTGCTTGCAGAGGTTTTTCACAGGTTGTAACTAAACCTAAACCTTAAACCCCAAACCATAAACCCTAAACCCTCAACCCTAAGCGCTAAACCTTAAACCCTAAACCCCAAACCCCAAACCCTTAAACGCTTAAACCTTAAACCCTAAGCCCTCAAGCCTAAAGCTGAGCGGTACTTTGAGCTTATGAGCTTGGGGGTTGAGGGTTTGTGAGGCTTCAGTATTCAGGGCTTTAGATCTGTTGAAGGGATCCAAACCTTAACCCTAACCCCTAAACTACCCCTAAACCCTATTGTGATGCTTCAGTATTCAGGGCTTTCGATCTGTTGAAGGCTTCTGGTGGTGGATTCATGATTGAGGGTTTACGGCTAAACCCTAAACCCTAAACCCTAAACCCTAAAGCCCCAAGGCTGAAGCCTAAGCCCTAAACTCAAAGCCCCAGGCCCTTAGAGGGCTTGACCCCCTGAGTGTGCGAAGCCGGACAAGGGACTGGGCCCAGGGGTTCTTGGAGAGTTGCAAACCCGGTAAGTGGAGCAGTATATAGTTTCCTTGCTGACAAACCCCGCTTACAACCCAGCGGTGCGGAACATAAGAACCCCAAAACTCTGCACGAAGCTTTGGAACCCTATACGCCCTAAACTCCAAACCCTAAACCCTAAACCCTTAACCCAGCCCCTACACCCTAACGCCCGAACCCTGAGAATCTCTGCCGCAACGAAGGCACCGCCGCCCTCCGCGGCGTCCTCGCTGCGGCTTCGGAGGCCACGCGCGAGGCGCCTGGGATCTCGCTTCGGCGTAGCCTTCGACCTTGAGGAATTCTACACGGGGTTTTAGGGTTTATTGTTTAGGTTCTCAGGTATAAAGTATGAACTGACATATGGGGGATTTAAATGATTATTTGGAGGTTTATGGGTAGTTATAAGTGGAGGTTATTTGTACTTGGGGTACCTATAGTCATAATCCATATCAGGGGACTTGTAACTTATAGCCCCACTTATAGCTATCCATGAACCTCCAAGGAGTTCCGCAAGGCTTCTATTTTCTACGGCGAGGGTTCTAGAAAGGATTCTAGAAGGGTTTTATAAGGGTTCGAGATCGGACTCAGCAACGACGGCCTTCAGCAGGGTTGGCCAGATAGCACAGCTCCGCACAGAAATGGACTGCGTACCCATTTTGGGCTCCCGAAATCCTAAATCCTTTAGGGGAGTGGTGTTGTGTCCCCGACAGTATCAGCCTTACGATAGGCCCTAAGCCCTGGACTCTAGACCCCCCTTGAAGCAATCTGTGTCAGACCTCAATGCTCAAACTAAATGTAGTTGTTGCTACCAGCGATAAGAAGTTGTTGGGGCTTGTATGAAAGGTGCCAAAACAAGATGCCTGAACAAGATGCATGCCTCTCTTGGTGTCCTGAAATCTTCTGAGACTTTTGCAATATAGAGTCTGTATTACTTCCCAAAAAGGGGTGGGCGTGGCGTCTCGGGACCCATTGACTGGCACATTCTATGCGCCAACGCTGCTTTACTTTAAAGCTCCCTAAACCCGATACTGCCCTAAAACCCTAAACCCTGTGCCCTAAAACCCTAAACCCGAAAGAAGTCAAAGTCTCGAAGGGCAACGGCTTTCTCGACGTGAACTCGATCAACCACTCCTGAGCGGAGCCGGGGGGAAAGGGCCAGGGCCTGGCTGATTCAGCACATTTATCTGTTGCTACGTCTATTCTCATTCAGGGTTTAGGGTTTAGGGTTTAGGGTTTAGGGTTTAGGGACTTCTATTCTCATTATTGTTAGTACTGCTATTGTTCTGAGTGTTATTCTTCTTCTGATCAGTCAGAGGGTTTAGTTTATTCATTTGCAGCTTCTTTCATAGGAAGGCCTTGGGACAAGATGCTTCCCGGGGTGCAGGGTGCAGGACCACTAGCTTTCTGTCATGCCTGTATGCCATCGCCTGGGGTTTGAAAACACAGGCTACCTTCTCTGTTTATGAAGACTCCAATCGCCCTTGCATCTTGGTGGTTCTCCCATAGACTGATCCAAAACCCAAGTAAAACAAAAGAGCAACCCAAGCATCTCTTTAGCTGAAGTTCTTAAACCTCCGTAATCTTAATCGAGTATTTTTGGGTTCAGCTCGGAGTAAGCCAGGGCGTGCAGGTATGTAGGTGCTGTGTTAGGAAGATTCGGGGGGCCTCTCCGTTCGGGTGAGGGTTCTGAGTTTGGGGACCTAGGATATCTTGACACCTCACATTCGGGTTGTGGGTATCCTAGGCTGCGAGAATCAGCCTTTCTTTTTGCTCACAATGTCAATGCCTGCGACAAGGCGGCTATGACATGCAGGTTCTTGGGATGTCGTCACGTGCCATCTTGGGCATCTGGCGGAAGTCCAGTGGAACTCTGCAGATTTGGTAGAGGAGGTGCTGAGCTAACAGAGGCTGCATCTTTTCCAGAAGGAATTCCAAGCTTCTGAAGATCTGCACGAGGCGCATGGCGGAGATATCTTGAATGTTGCATAGTCTCAGGTACCGTAGTGATGGTTCAAGGGCTTTAAGTTTTCAGACCCTGAATACACTTACTTGCGGACAGGATGAGTGCTGTCATGCGCTGATGGATGCCAGAAAGTCGGACACGACTAGCGGGGCATCAATTCGTTGCATGTTATGCACAGATCACTCTAGCATGTCGCTGCGGCCGTGTTGCGCCATATGGACCGCGCACGTCTTGATGCGATTGGAATCCCGTTTCTACGTTCTACATGTGAGCCTGATACCCGGAGCTTAGAGTAAGCAGAGCTTATCCCAAGTTCCCTGGCGCCATACCTTTTGTCTTCGAAGATCCCGCAAAAACCAGACAGCCTCGCCAGGCCTTAGCCCGCAACACCCGAAAGCCTTAAACCCTAAACCCTAAACCCTAAACCCTAAGTGGGCTAGGCCTCCTGCCAAGGCAACCCCCGACTCTTTAATTCCTTCTTTCAGTCCACGTGCCGGAGCAGGCACAGATTCTGCAGACGCAGGGGCGGTTCTCTTGATCAGACTTCGGTAGCCGATTCAAAAGCCGCTCTTAGAAAATAAAAGAGGGAGACTGTGCAACAGCCCTAGTTCGTGTGGGTCCTTTGGATTTAGGTCGAAAGCCAAGTCCTGATGGTCTGGTACAACAACCTAAACCCTGCCTTAACATCTTTACCTTCAATGCTCAAGTTTAGCTGCTTGAGCCTCCCACCTTGGATTTACCTATAGTCTCCATTACAGTTCCTTTTCTTGGTTTAACCAACTATATATAGAATCCTTCAGGGTAACCCCCAAAAAGGATCTACAATGAAGACTATAGGTAGGGGTCCGGAGAAGGTGTTGAGTTTCAGCAGGCGTGAACTAGAGAAGGGACCTGTAGAAATCAAGACACCTCTCAGCCGAAGCTCCCGTGTGCGCTTCGGTGTCTTAGATGGCATAGCCAAAGTCTAAAACCTATCATGCTACCAAGGTCAGGTTTACTTCTGGACTTAGGAGTTTAAGATTTCGTTCTTTGGGCTTCGATTTCAGGGTTGTGGGGGTTCTGTGTCGCACTTGAAGCGGTTCTTATGAGAGATCCAGCTACAGAGTTTGTAGGGACCCTGCAAAATGCTAGGTCTTGGTAGGTGAAGGTCCCTAAACCCTAAACCCTAAACCGTTGAGGTAGGCTATGAGGTTGCTCGGACCCTGCTCCGACTGTTTAATTCGCCGTGCATTCTTTGAGGATCCGCCATGAAGAGCGCGATTCGACCAATGCTGCGTTTCGTGTACCCCGGAGGGTGTGGAGTCTGAAAAGTTTGAGTTTTGTTAGTTGAGGCTTTGGATGCAATATTGCTTCTAAAACTGAGCTGTGCATGTCTTGGTTCAGGCTTTGGGTCCTGAAGTTCAGGACTACTTTGCCCGGTACACGTCGGGATGCAGCAGCTAGATCAGCTTCAGCCCGTCAGCAAGAATGGGAAGTTGTTCGTTGCCCGCACTCCTGCGGTCAGTTTTGAAATTGGAGGCAGTTGCATCATGGACGCACTCTCCTGGTTCTGTGGATCTGAAAAGCAAACCTCGAAGCCTCGTCCTGACGGTGCTGTGTACAGATATGTGCAACTGCCTGCAGACACGTCGGAGAGGTTTTGATCGGGGCCTTCCTCGCCAAAAAAAGACGACTGCGGCATGCCGAGCTTGAGTTCTAGCCTATGCAAATGCACGAAAGCAGTCTACCCGTGTAGAAGGCCGCGAGAATTCGCAACATCATATTCGTCTTGATATAGCCTTTCCTGTATATAATCACATTCTTCTATAATGAAGAGGCCGCCCCTCATCGCTTGCTGCATGCATGTGCGCGTGCAGCCTCGTTGCAGGGCCGTATGCGTTGCCGCCTCCGTCGGATACCTACTTTTCTCCGTGGCGTCTGTGCGCGCTTTCGCCGCAGCTTGTTGTCCTTATACTCTAGACACCCACACCGCCGATTTTGACCGGGACCGTTTGTGCATAGGCTGCGGCGTATTTTGTTAGACTCGTCGTTATAATTATAGTGGAGCCTGCAACTAAAAAGTAGACTGACGTTGCATTCATCCCGGCAACCTGCACAAACACCATGCCAATCACGCTAAGCACACACATTCAATCAGCACGGCAAGGGCTTGTTGTTTGTGGCCAGGATGGCCATGGTTGTCAACGGCGGTTAGAGCCGTGGGGCGACCGGGCGCTGGCATGCGTGGGCTTCCCTGCTACAAGCTCGTGCCTGGCTTGCAGTCTGCCGTGAGGCCGTCGGAGCCGAAGCAGACGGTGTCCCTCAAGTGGCTAGCGCCAGGTGTGCCGTCGGTTCACCGCACTGGACCTTGTTGTCTACGGCGCCTCGCCGCAAGGTCTAGAGTCTTGCGCTCTGCAGTTGCGATGCCACGCACGTTAGCCCCATCACCGGCGGGGGCGCACCCAACCTGGGGGCTGCGTTCTCATGCAATCGGTCGCAGTGCAGCACGCCTTCAGAAGCACCGCGCTGGGCGCCTTGCGGTTGCTCCCCCGCAGCGTTACAGGACAGGAACCGGCCCTCGACCACGTCCTCGCGCTCGAATCACCACCCCCTGGCGCTCGCATCGCCACTCCCCGGGCTTTCGAATGGAAGGAGGGTGGAGGGCTCTGAAATATTTCGCGCTCGTGTTTTGGGATGTCGGGCTTACGACTTGCAGGGGTGGGGAGGCACTTGAAATTTCAGGTCTTTGGCTGTGATACTCACAACCAGGACTTTTCAAGCTAGTACGTCAGGACACCGGGTACAGCAAACACTGAACTCTTGGCAGGACTTTCAACTGCTGATTCTCAGCCTTTTTTGCAAGGCCCTCAATAGATTTTTATTGGGAATCTCCCACCATGCAAGTCATCATGCTGATTGTCGGCCTTTTTTGCAAGTTCTTCTATGGATTCCTTGATTAACAAGCCATTAAATTCCTACCATGCAAGGTCATTCTGCTGATAGTTGGCCTCCATTGTTCCATTCTGTTCGGTTTCCATGATAAATCCATTAGACACCGATAGATTCGCACCGTGCGAAGTCATGATGCTGATTCTTGGCCTGCTTCGTAGGCCCCAAATAGAATTCAAGTGGAAACATAATAAAGTGCTATTAAGTTTTAAGCACGACCATTTAGGTAGTATGCAAAGTCATTATTCTGTCCTCTGTTGCCAGACCGCCCGGAGAAATCACGAGGGAATGGGTTGTGGGGTCACCCTGCAACAAGCTGGGGGAAGAGTTGTGGACCGCGTCTTGGGCTCAAGGGCCATGTGGCCCGAGTATTAGGTGCTGACGTCTCTTGCCTGCAATGTGCAATGTAGAAGCAATCGTGCACAACACTTTCATGGATGGCCGCTGGTTACTTCGCAAGATTTCCGCAGTATGCAATGTCATTCTGCTGCTAGGTGGCCTCCACGGCCTAGCTTTCATCAGATTTCTCGATGAAATCTAGCAAGTTCCTTGATTCTTGGCTTCACGTGTATTTAAGACATTCAATAGCTTGCCAGTATTGAAATTGCTACATTCGTACCATGCAAGGTCATTCCGCTGATAGTTAGCTTCCACTGTTCCTTTTCTACTAGATTTCTTCTCGACATCTATTCAATTCCTAGCATTCGCAGTCATTGTGCTGATTTTTTCGCCTGGCTAAATGTCTAATTCTCCCGCCCGTCAGCCATCAACGCTTGGGTTGCGCGACGGTCAGGCCTGTTGGCAGTAGCCGCGCAGCGAGCGTATGCCGCTTCGTTGCTTGAGCTCCCCCCCCGCTGCCGAGCTTGGTGAAAGCACTGAGCCAGACCTACGTGAGGTCCTCGCTGATGTTCGGTGGCAGGAGGATGTCCGCGCCAGCCGCTTGCCCTCACGCTAGCGGGTCGCGCGCATCCCTGGGCACTGCTATGCCACCGCAAGCGGTAGGACCGGGATCCATTGAAGGCAGTCGGGAGGCGCGCGAAAAAAAATAAAAATCATAAGCAGGACCATTCTCCTTGCCTGCGAGGTGGAGCGCCCCGCCGCCTCGTCGCACAGCTGGTCAGCCTTGGAGCCGAGTGCGCTTCACCGCCCTGGGATGTACCAAGATCGTGGGCTCATGACGTCAAGCTGCAGTTACAATCTGCTGTGGCGATTTGCTGCTTGCCGATTGTGGGGTTATACCGGGA